TCACCAAAACCCCGCTCTGATACCAGTTGATGGGGATATAAAGAGGAATAACCTTTGTATATGAACAAATACTAGAAGACCATAATACGCAGCGGAATAAAATGGAAACACAATCAAACAGAACACCAAGATATACGTGGAAAACCCCTTCAATGTGAAGGGTAAAAACCACGGGGCAAACTAGAGATAATCCACTATGAGAATAATGAATATACAAATCTCAATCTCTTGCCCAAAACCCTAGCAACAACCACAAGAGAATAACTGGGATACAAGGATCACGTCACTGCCCACAATATCTAAAACCTCCCCAAGTAATCACAGCAAGAGTCTACTGTAGATTTGATCTAACTTGAGATGAGAACACTGCTAGAAGATTGAGAACAGTCTCTCTGCGTTGTCCTTGTCTTCTTCCCTTTCTTTCTCTTCCTTTTCTGCCTTATTCTCCTTCTTCTCTTTGGAATCCCGTGGCTTTCAAGATCTGCCTCGTTGCTGCCTTTTTATAGCCTTTTTCTGCTTCTAAAATGCAGCCACCACACACCCCTAATCTTAATTAGGGTTAGGTTAAGAGGGGGTGTGGGCTGCCCTAGCCCACATGGGCTGAATATGGGCTATCAGCCCAACATTTATGACCTTAAACAAGCTAAGGTAATGATATATAAAGGTTCTTAATATCATTATTTCAGATTTAAGGTAAATACTATTAATCAGTATTTATATCAGTGAGAGCAAGTTTATTATATTGGTCTTATATATGGATAATATTTTGCCTTACTAATAGTGATCTTGATTTATTATACTAAATCAAGAATTTGTCACTAAAAGTTTTAATATGGTTGATATGAATGAGACATCTTATATTATTAACATTGAGTAATTCAAGGATATACCTCAATGATTATGAAGATTGTTTTAGAAAGTATATATCAACCGAGTCTTGAAATGATTTTAATATACAGCTTTGTTCAGTCAATCATAAAAGCAAAATTTTAGTCAATAGTAAATGCTTGAAAATGACTTGGAAAAGATAAGACAAAGAAGATATTCTTTGTATATGCGTAGTTGGAAGTTTATGCTCAAGCCTGTGTTAGAAAAGATATCAGTTTTTACAATTAAAATGTTGGGTATATATTGAAATCACCCAGAAGTAAAAACATTAAAGGACTACAGAGAAAGTAATAAGATATCCGGAAGGGACAAAAGATTATATGCTCACATGTATGAAATTATATCAGCTTGAAATAATGGTATTTTTCAGATGCTGATTATATAAATTGCCTCGATAATAGGAAGTCCACCTTACGGTTAATATCTATGTAATTAGAGAGGCAATTTATTATTATTAATAATAGAAGTTGATTTTGTGGCATGTTTTGAGGCCACTAATCAAATTTTTGATTGCAAAATTTTTATCTCAGGACTTGGTGTAGTCAGACTCAATTACTAAGTCGTTGAAGATATTTTATGACATTGCAGTAGTTTTCTTCTCTAAGAATGACAAGTACTATTGCATCTATATGCATTATGGTATAAAGTACTTGATGGTTAGAGAAGATGAGTCCAGAAACATCTAATGTCAATTAATTACATGAGTTCCACTGTATTGATTGTTGATCCATTCACTTAGGACTTACAGTCTAAAGTATTTTAAAAGAACATGTTCTTATGATTGGGTTTGTGAGCAACCCATAAAGGATATGGTGATGTATGTTTGAGTGGATATTATAATTGACATTCTTACTTACGTACTTAAAGTTATTTGTTTCTGTTATCTTGTTCACAATTATGTATGTACATATTATGGTTGAATGTGATGACAGGATTGTCTTGACAAGACAAATTATAGGGGTTATTTTTGGACTGCATTAGGAAAGGCTAACAGTATTATGGTATATAGAAGGAAGTGTGACACTGATGGCATACAACCGCTATGACTCATATTGTTAGTCAGACTTAATGTAGTATTATTATTATTATTGGATTTATTGGCCTATTTTTTAAAATTCATGCGCGTGTATATAGTTTTTCCAAAAATTTCAGAATCCAATTGAGTCAAATTATTTTTTTTAAAATAAATTTTGTTTATTTATTATTGATTTTTAAGTCTTTTTGTATCTTATCAATTATTGAGCCAAGTGGGAGAATGTTAGATTATGTGGTCCTATTTAATTAGGTAAGATATATTATAGATATTATTAGATTCTGATTATGGTTATTGGCCAATAGAAAAGAAGTCCATATTAAAGTAGGATTCCTTAGGAGATAACCTTGATGGGAGGAACTCTCCTAATAACTTATCCTAGACCCTCTGCTCTCGCCTATAAATAGACAGGACCTCTAGAGGCTAAGGGGGCATCTGATAGACAGGACCTCTAGGGGTTAAGTGTGCATCTGAGTAGTGCATCATTGAGTGCATCAGAGTGCGAGTAGCATCTCAGCAATTGAGAGATTGGTTTTTCTCTCAATCTCCCTCTTCTGTGATCCCCTAATCCATCAATCTAGATGGTTCTGTGATCCCCTAATCCATCAATCTAGATGGTCTTGTGAAAAGATAGGAAGAGAGGAGAAAGATCTAGGATCTAGTTCTCCTTGCAAATCCTTGCAGATTGATATTTCAGATCTGAAGATGAAGTACTTGTAGATCAGATAAAGTTTATTTTTCTGAACAACAAGAAAAAGGTACGCATCGTAATATTGTTAGATCCAATTTATTTGATTTCAATCTTGGCATAAAAATTTTTCCGCATTACAGATAGCATGATTACAGATTTTATTCTAACACTTTGATGTTTTAGTTGCTAAATTGTGTGTCTCCATCGGTATTGGATTCATTTTTTTCGCTTTATACAATCTGCCTGAGATGGAATAAAGTTTTAGTCTGCAGTATGTTAGGATCGAGAGCACTAAGAGGGGGGGGGGGTGAATTAGTGCAGCGGAAATCTTTTAGCGATTAAAAACAAAA